CTTTTGTTCTTCGATCAAGACTTTTACTAACACTAATTTTGGGTAGGGAAAATAAGCAATTTTATTTATTAAAGGTAATGTGGTTTTTAGAAAACAACTTCTATTATTTGAACTTAGAAGTTAAAGAGTTATAAAACTCCATAGAGTTATTCTTTTATTAGAATTTTTATAGTTTTTTACATTGCTACAGCTTTAATGGCTTAGCAACTAATTTTATATATGCCAACAAGTTTTCTTTTCCTTGAAGATAAAGAAAATGAAATAAATGAAATAAATTTCATTTATTTCATTTCTGAAATCTTCTTCACCTTTGATCCTACCAAAATAGGTATCGAGGCTATAATTGTGTCAATTCTATGTTACTAACTATGCTAAGCTTACACTTTTAGAAAATAACTGATACAATGGCACAAAAATAATGAAAAAAAGATAAAAATAGAAAAAAATAAATTTGGGCCATAGGAGCCTCTTACACATTTTGGGTAATTCGCTTATTTAGGGATCATGTACCACGTGAATTCAGTAACTTCGATTGACAGACGTATGTAAGCGTATATCAATACTAATTATGATAAAATTAGATCGAGAGTCTAATTATTTTTCTGTATTAAAAGGCGTCTTAATCATTAATCGATACTTTACTCTTTTACTATTTACTAAAAATTGATTATGCGTGTATAGTAAATCACAGGGCGATTTTATGAACAAAGGGTAAAATTTTTATAGGGAACTAACTTCTACTAATATGCTTTCGAAATTTTAGAACTCGAATGAGTTATTCTTTATTGGCACGAAAAGATCGACTTTTAGACTATTGCTGCGTACATAATGGCTATGTTTATTATTTTACCTATATTCCCTATATATTCCCTATATTAATTACATGTTTTAAAGGTAACTTATGCTGTACGAATTTGTATAAATCGAATTTGTTCTAAATTGAACGAACTTGATTGAATGATTGCCTCATACAAAATTGAATGGCAAGAAGGGCTACTAATTCATTTAATTTTGAACAAACGTTGTAGAACGATCTTTTGCTTAATTCTAACATAGGATAATAACAATAAAAGATATAATAATATAATAATAAATAAAAAATCTCGCATGGGTCCCTGTCACAACGAACAATTAATCACGTGAACAGGTTGTTTGTAAATATAAAGTTTTACGGGTAAGCGGTAAGTTTCGACTTTATTAAATAGATGATTTCATATACAATTACAGAGTTAAAGAAAATAAAAAAAAAGGAAATCAAAAAAAAAATAATACATATATAAATAAAAAAAAATCTTATATAAAAATATTCTATTTATTTATTATAGCCTGCACATCGATCCCTTCTTCTTGGTTACCTCTCAGCACCCATTCTTTTAATAGGTGTAGGTCGTTGGTATCGTTTGCCATGAGGGTAAATGTTAAAAATTCTATTAAGTATACAGCTTTTTGGAGCTGAAGCTCTTTAGATGCATAGTAGGTGCTGAAGATCAGGTGTGAATATGAATAAATTTGTTGCCCATAGTAAACTTTCACTTCTTCGAGTTTGAGCTTTCGTCATCAATTGGCAGTCATTAATTCGAATGCCATTACTTCAAAATTTGATATTGACATGTTGAATGAGTTAAAGAAAGGTCAATGAAAATATAACTAGAAAATATGACTATATGTAGCTGTGAGTAAAACAAATGGAATAAATAAAGATCAATAGAGGTACGAGTATTAAACCAGACAAGAAATTTTAAAATTTTGATAGACAAGGCTAAATAAAATGAATTTTTTTTTTTATATTTATTGAATAATTTTTTTTGAGTGAATGGATTTCTTTTCAAAACTGCAAATTTAAAGCTTTTTTATTCTGTAGTTTGTTAAGATGAAAATAAGACTACTAAGTCAAAGGGCCTAAAAGATAATATGACAATAAAAATAGCCATGTTTACGTCACTGTAAGGGCAATGAAAATGGCCATGTTTATGGCACTGCAAGGGCAATGAAAATGGCCATGTTTACGACTAATATCTACGTATCTACTATCTCTCATCTTAAAAATAGTATTCGGGTCTTTTATATTCCTAGTGGTGGATACTCTGTCAGGTGAAGAGTATTTTATGTGGAAGAGATACTTTAAATGCAATAAAAATTAAATAATCATTATTTAAGCAAACATGAATGATTTGATATGCGGGTTTTTTACTTGATTAATCCCAGGGTACTGCTACAGGAGCGACTGTCAATATTGCACAACTAATTTTTCACCCAGTGTGCAACATATAAAAAAACTATTTTACAATACCAGATCATTCCGACAGTATCATGTTATGATTATAATCCCACACCATTTTTGATAATAAAAATGGAATGATCTGATATTTTTTTTATATGTTGCACACTGGGTGAAAAATCAGTCATGCAACATCGATGGCCACTCCTGTAGCGGTACTGCAAATTACGATATTATTAAAAATTATAAACATAATGATAACGATAAATTAATTAAATGTCTTAAATGATCATATACCTACGTATATTCTAACAAACTTAATTGTCAATGTGCATAAATTCTGTTATTTAAATGTTTTTAACTCAAATATAGCTATATAAACTATACCCCTACATGATCATAATAAACTTTAATCATTGAATCATATTAAAAGTCGTAGTGAGGATCTTTTTCAATTTTAATGGCTGAACTTATTTAATGCATCAAAGGTGTGTTGATTGTAGTTTGGGTCATGCATCTTTCCTGGCTTTAACTACTATAAGCTAAGATGCAGCCGTTATATTCAATATGTTAATTGGCACCATTATTCTTTATATTCGCTATTAGCATTTTATATTTATCATAATATTAAATGCAACTTATAAACCACCTACATTTAATTATAATAGAGTATTCAGGATTATGCGAGTTTCTCTAGCATAATTTACCCACGCATAATTCTAAACACTCTATAATACAGCAATAAATTATCATCATATCTCGGGTTAAACCATCCTTGTAGAATTCATAGTTTTTTACTTGTGCATTCTATTATAATAGTGTAATTTTTACATCTTAAGAGAGAGTCGCACACTTTTTTTTTTTCTGTGCTAATGCATACGGGATATTAATAATACGCTATTGTATTATGCATACTTAAGAGTTGAACATATAAAAATTTTTAAGAAAGGCATATTTATTTACAATTTTTTTTAGGTTGGAGGTATTATGGCATGCATCCACCCTCCAAATATGTCAAATAAGAAAATACATAGAAAAATTAAAAGAAAAATTGAATACGTGAATAATACGCGAACTATAATATTTGGCTTTCATTTATTTTGTAGTTCAGTAAATAGAACCATGCGATTTTTATATAATTTGAATAGACAAATCTAAAGGTACTAATATAATTTGAAAAACCTGAGTGCACCAGATTACCTACCTGTGCCAGAATACCTTATATTTTCATATTCCCTATGTTAATATTGTATTAATAATATTCTACAAATACAGTATTGGTGTTGTATTAAAAGGACTATGATCAAGAGAAAAGATAAGTTAGTCTGTGAAGTCAAAAAAATGCTCATTTAAAAATGGCACTATCAGGACAATGTTAATCGTATAAGTTAACTGATGTGTTTAAGAAAAGTCTGACTAAAAAAAGAAGTTTTAAATTACAATGGTTCTTTGTATGAAAATGTATTGACTACCATTTACCTAAAAGTCTTAAATATAATTTCTTAAATTAAAATTATCATTGTATAAATTACATTTATTTAAATAAAAAATATAGTGAAAGAGAAAAATAAAATAGTATCACAATGCACTTAACTTTTTTAAAATTAATTTCTCTATCTTCTTATAAATACTGCTTTTTTTCCTCTCACGCATTTGTATCGCTTCATCTTATATTGTTTTTTCTACTTATTACTTGCTTCGATCTTTTTGCTTTATATTTTTTTTTCTTCATACTTAACTTTCTGACTTAAGATTAATTCTTTTATCTTCTTATTATTACTGCTTTTTATACCTTCTTATATTGCACCACTTCATCTTATACTGCTTGTCTACTTGCACATTTGCTTTTCTACCTTTTTATTTAATATTTCTTTTTTATCTTTTCTACTTAAGCTTTTTTTGCTTATAATTAATTCTTCTGGTCTTATTAAACACTGCTTCAATCATTTTATATTCCTTTTCTGCCTTTTTTTTTTTTACTTATATTGAAAGATTTGATAGCACCTCTTTATAATACTATTTCGACATCAAGTGAAATAGTTGGCAACACGTTTAGGACTAAAAACCACTGGATGCTTGCAACAGATAATGGGTGAGATATCTGGAAATGCCAGTGTTTCCAAAAAAAAAGTATTCAATAAAAACTAGCAGAACACACTTAAAAAATCATATCTTGGCATGTACTTATTCTCCAATAACTGATACTCAGACATTCCGTTGGCTTACAAAAGAAGAAATGGATATATCTATAGTTGACTTGGTTGTTAGAACAGGATTGTCATTCAACATTCTCAATAATCTATCATTTCATAAAGTAGCTAGAAATTTTCATTATGTTGCAAATTCATATAAAGTTCTATATCCGACTACAATATCATGATACCTTACCGGAAGTGTATTTGATTTAAGATTTAATTTTATCAAGAATATACTAGCCAATTCTCCTGGATGAATTTCTTTAACTTGTGACAGATGGCATTCGACTATTCATAAGTGCCATTATATTGTCGTCACATGGATTAGTGAAAATTAGAGAATGGTTAATATAATTTTAAATTTTTAACAATCAGGACAAACAGCTAATGAAATATTCTCAGTAATTATGAATACCTTACAAAGTTATTCGATTAAAGAGAAGATACTTGTGCTCACTACAGATAATATGACTACAAATAAAGCTATAAGCTGATTGCTTCAAAATAAATTGCCGAATACAATATCAATAGGTTTGTTTTTTTTTTTAATTAATCTTTTTTAATTTTTTTTTTTTTTTCTTTTTAGGATGTATGTGCCATATTCTCAACCTTATAGTTAAAGAGGGCCTAAAAGAAATAAGATTATTACAAAAACAGGTTCATAATATTATGAAATACCTAGCTAATCCTTTAAGTGGCGCTAGACTAGAGACGTTGGAATCCTATTGTCGAATTTCAAAAATAAAGTTTTTACAATCTATTCTTGAAATAGATACATGCTGGAATTCCACATTAGCCATGTTCAAAAGATATCTTTATTTACATCCAGCAATTTCTGATATGTGCTTGAGAGAACTATTAATACCTTCCTGCTTGGATATTGAAAACTTTTTCTTCTGCCAATTTCTTAAACCATTCGAAAGTGCTACTATAGTTCTTTCCAAAGAACGAACAAACTCAATTTCTGATACATTAATGATTATATTAGAAATTGATCAGCACATCAAGAAAGCTGTGAATAACGACATGATTCAAAAAATGAAAAAATTTGAGAAATACTGGAGTGTAATTATCGACCATGTAATAATTGCACATGTTCTTGTTCCAAGATTTAAGTTAGACACCTAAAAGCAATTTTAATCGAAGTTGGTGAATATAATAAACGTGATGCAGAAGTGTTTGTTGAAAATATTCGGCAAAAGATTATTTCTATTGGAACTAAATATACAAATGCAGGATCCACATATGTTGAAGCTGTTGAAGTTGTTGAGACTGATAATTATCTCACGTCTGATTTCTTATTTCCTAGGCAAAGAGTTTTTAAAAAAAGAAAATGCATAAACACAATAGAATATGAATTAGAGTTATATGAAAAAGAGCCTCTTGAAGAGTTTGAAAATAAGAGAATGTTATTTTGGGAATCGTTATCTCATAGGTTCTCAATACTTAGTAAAATGGCACGTGATTACTTATCCATCAAACCTTTAAGTATTTCTAGTGAGAGGGCATTTTCCAGGGCTGGTTTTACTATTACTAGCAATAGAGCAAATATTAGTGAAAAACCGTTTCTTGTGCTGTACTTATGCATTCGTGGCTAGTGGAAAGCCAAAATGAGTTTAGTCCCCTTAAAACTCCTCCATAATGGCAATATGTTGGATGAAAATCTATATTATATATTATGTGCCCCATTTTTATTTTCTAAAATTGTAACACTTTTTACTAAATATACATTATTCAAAAATCAAATAAAAAAATTGTTGTTATACAATTATTTTTTGATATAATAACCAGTGCCGCACAAATATTTTTCTTTTTGGTCCAAATATCATGATTGAGAAATTTATACAAAATTATTAATTATGTAAAAAAAATTAGATTATATATTCATTAAAATATCGCAAGGCGGAACTTAGAAGTAAACTTTAGTCATAAAAATGCTCAATTATTTGTTACTACATAGGACATAAAAAAAAAAAGTGATTTTTGTTTTATGTATACAGAAATCTGGTCAGATGGTATTTGATAATTATATAAGCATCATTGTATTCAAGATCTTGTCTAAAACCCGCTTGATTTTTTATGTGAGATAGGTTAAAAATATATTCTATAAAATTATATAGTAACTTGCTAAATCAATGCTTTTATATTTATAAATTTAAATTATATAGTGTTGAATTTCAGCTATATGGTTTACTGTAACTCAGTTATATTCATAAGTTTTTATGATCAATCAAACTTCATAGGAATTCAAATTAACTTTAGAATATATAAATCTAGACCGAATTCATAATACAAGATATATTGGTGCTAACTTTAACAATAGACAATAAAGGTTTCGTCCAGAATTATCTAAAAAAAAATAACTCAAAATGTTTTTTGAATTATGCCTTCGAAGTTTTATTAGCAAATAACAGTTTATTCAAGCAGCAGATATGATTGATTGAAAGTTGGCCCTAAATTAGATGTTTCTTGCATGATTTAAGTAATAATTTTTGGTAATTACTGCCTGGGAACATTAGCACACAAAAAAGATCAAGTGCAATTGAAGGTATTTGTTTACATTCTTAAAAATTACCTATTTGCATTAACCAACAAAACAAATCAGGTTAATTTAGATTTACCGGTTTGTGACCTGAAGTAACCTTGGTAAATAGTTGGGTAACTCGACACTAAGATGGAGAAGTTTGCTATATGAAGAATTCTCTTGTAGACTCAGATAAGTTATTAAAAATTAGTTCAAGTAATGATACAGCTTTTATTAATAAAGTCGGGTTAGGGTCTTTTATTATTTAATGCTATGGTTTATTTGTTAGACACAGTGAATACTTAGGTCTTTATCGAACTGGCTTTGTTTTTTGGAGTGTTAATGTGAGGTCATTAAGTGTCTATAATATTGATTAAAGGAAATGTGAGTTTTAAGATAAGAAAGCTTACAGCATTTTACCTTTGTAAGCATTTATTTTTTCTTTTGATTCCGAATGATGATCTATACTAATTCTTTTTTTTTTTAATGTTTTACAAGCTTACTTTTAAAATATGTATTTGTATGTACACTTTCAATTAACCAGTTTGATTATTTTCTATGTTGTTAACTACGATTTTGATTATTCTAGTCAGTTTAATATCTCAATTCTTTCTTGCTAATTGTCGGCTTAATATATATATTTTTTTATAGGGCTCGATAAGCCTCAGCATTCTGTTAATATACAATATTTTTTGTTCTTGTGTTGTAACTGTAAATATACGAATAGATTCTCCGTTACTTAATGTTTCTCAACCAACACAATTCGTGAGTATAAAGAATATTTATTAATTAATTATTTAACTTAAGCTACCAAGTTCCCAGTGTTAACTCTTACATTATACCTATTTACTTTCATTTAGTTTATATCAAATATTTGAAGTAGCAACTGGTTTTTCTGTAATGGCAATCACCAGTTTTTTAAGTGCTGAAAATAATTTATGTATTTTAAATTATTGCTAATATTATATGTAAAACCTTATTTAATAAACAAAACTATAAAATTTTGCTTTTAAGATTGGGCTGGGAGTGTATAGTTTTTTTAAAAAATTTAACACCTGCTTGCTTAACAAAAGTGAATACTTTTATAGGTATAATTTTGTCCATCTGGAGTGGCAGTTATAATAATTCTGATGCGAAATTAACTCGACCTTAACTATATACTATACCTCACTGGAATAGCGAATTCTTTAATGGAATATTTTCAGCAATTTATGATGAAAATTATGATAATTCTGATACAAACTTACAAAATTTTGATTACCAGAATGGCAAGTAAGTTTTGTAATTGAATTTCTTGTAGCAATTTATAAAATTATAATAATTCCAATAACAAGTTTTATTTTAGCTCATAGTAGAAGTCATGATAATAATGATACAGACCAACTCGATCTTATCTACATGCTATGTCTGAATAGCAAATCCTAAAACAGATAGGATATTTTACAGAAACTCTTGATAGAAATTATGATAATTCCAATACAAATTTAACCAGTATTGCAGGTTAATCTGTGACTTTCATCAAAGAATGACCTAGTCCAAATGGCAAGCACTTGATCGCTTCGCTATACCCGATTTCAATGTTTATATTAAGGCAAGTACTTTTACTTATTACTCAAATGAAGTTTATTAATTAAGAGCGATACTAATACTAACTTATCCTAACTACTATTACATTCACTTTGCTCCTAAATACATACTTTGGGTCATATTACTTATATTATAATTTGTTCATATACGATCATACAATCGTTTGACTTTTATATTACTACTAAATTACCTCATCTTCTATACATACTGATTACCTTACTTCTATTGCATAATTGATCGTTACTCAATCTCTTAATCCCGATCAATCCCTACTTGTCACATGCACAAGACAATGATCATTCGTTCATTTTACATTCATTCTCATACAAGTTTACCACATACTGTATGTCACCATGACACTAGTCACATTTTTTGATTACTGAAATTATAAGTAAGTTTTATAACAGAACTTCTTATAGCAACTCATAAGAGAAACTATAACAATTCCAATACAAACTCAACCCTAACTACAAACTATTGTTGCTGGAATAGCAAATAAATTTTACTTTAGCTCATGGTAGAAGTCACGATAATTCTAACGCAAACTAACTTGATTATCAGAATAACAAGTTTTATAATGGAATTTTTACATTAATAAACAAAAATAGAGCATGAACAAAATACTAGTGTATATTTTAAAATAAGCTATTCAAGTTCATAAGTATTTGTTATTTAATCTATTTTCTTTAATTTAGCCCATGAGTATAAAGAACGCTTATTAATCTAAGTATTTAGTTTACTAAGCAATTTTAAAATGATATTCATGAATTTATTAAAACACGCCATTGGTGTCCAACACCATAGTTCTAAATAAGAATAATCAAAACCCAAAACTAGTAGTCATATCTGGTTAACTTTTTACCAGAAAGGTTATAATTAGGGTTCTGCAAGTATACATGTCGGGACAATTGGCGTTATGCCAGGCACTGTTGGCACTGTACTAGGCAGAAATACTAGTGCCCAAGTGTAGGGATTGGAATCGGTTTAGTCGACTACTATGTTTAGTTAACTAATTAGTCGACTAAACATAGTAGCTTACTATAAAATTTTTTTAGTCGACTAAACTGATTCCAATCCTTACCCAAGTGTCTGTAAGTTGAATTTTAAAAATATCAAATACAGTCTTTGTCAGTTATGAAAAATAACTTATTTACACGAGTATATATTTTTATATATACCTGTGCGAATAAGCTTTCAAAAAAAAGCACAGGTTGTTACTTAAGACCCATACGATACTTATTTTTATTTACATTAGGTTTATTCACTTAATTAAAATATTCATTTCATCCAAATTAATTTAAGATTTAAATTCATAAATGCATATTCTTGAACAACTTCATTAACTTCGTTTGTTTACACCAATTAAATAAATATGGCACTGTGCACTTTATA